TATATATATATATATATATATATATATGTATATGTATATGTATATATATATATGTATATATATATATCTATATATATATGTATATATATATATATATATCTCTCTCTCTCTATGTATATATATATATATATATATATATATACATATATTTACATATATCTATAATTCACTATTCTATAGAAATATATATGTATTTCTCTATATGTATATATATATATATGTATATATATATATATATATATATATATATATATATATATATATATATATATAACTTTTTGTTTCTCTCAATCTTTTCTTCTCTATTCCTCCGACCAAAAACACCGGCGCCGTAATTAGTGCATTTTGACACCAGCAAAAAAAAAAAAAAGAAAAAAAAAGAAGACAATGGTGCAGTTAGACGGTGAATTTGAGCAACCAATAATCCGAGCGGCGGAGTTGAACGAGGACGAAGAAATCAGCTACGCGACGATCTGGAGCGGCGGATGTGGAATGACCGGGCCCTGATGAAGAAGTTCAAAGCCCGGCCTGGTTCACAGCCCCGGGTCGAGCAATCTCGCCGGAAGACAATATCCCGAGCCCAAGATTCGATTCTCAAAAACATGGTCAAAATCATGGATGTCTGCAAGGGCCAGGGCTTCGTTTACGGCATCCTGCCGGAGAAAGGCACCCCGTTGACCGGCTCGTCGGAGAGCCTCCGCACCTGGTGGAAGGATACGGTGGTTTTCGACAAGAACGCTCATGACACCATCGCCAAGTTACTGTCGGAGATAGTTGCCGCAGTAAATTTGGATCCGGTGTCCTGTATGCATCTGCTGCAGGAACTGCAGGACACAACTCTGGGCTCGATCCTCTCGTCCTTGCTCCCCCACTGTCTGCCGCCGCAGCGAACTTTTCCGTTGGACAAAGGTGGTGGTGGTGGTGGTGGTGGTGGCGGGGAAGGGCAGGGCAGCATAGGTTTGGTCTGTGTAGAAAAGGATGAACGACAGATCTAGGGTTTGGGTGTGGGACTTAACAGAGAAATATTGAATAACTGAGTATAAAATATAAAATATAAAATACAAAGAAACGTGATAAGAGAAAAGGTTATAATTGTCAAACTATATTAACTTTTATTAATTTTAATTGTTTTGGATTTAACTCAAAAATAAGAAAAATATTTGGACTTATTGTAATTAGAGGGGGCTAATGAGGGGTGTTTGTCAAATTATCCCTTTGTCTCTAAACTCTTGCGTGAAGAAATGAGCATATTATCAGTTTATAATAGTTACTGCGCGTTCGTTGCACGCGTGGTACTATTTTTTCTATCTATTTTTAATTTGTATACAGTAGTATTTTTAGTAGACAAGTATTTTATATAAAAAGGTAATATGTTGTGGCATTGACTAGGGGTGGGTTTTTTTTACCAAAATGTCCTACCAATTCGTTGTCCTGCCGAGCCCTACCGATTTTTTACCGAATTATTACCGTACCCTACCGAAATGTTTTGGTAGGACAACGGCACTCAATATTATTAAAACGGTATTACCCTATCGTACCGAAATATTTTTGATAAATAAAATTTTATTTTAATAATTCATTTATTATATATAAAGAGTGAACATAGTATCCTAATTAACTATTATTAGTTAAAATTAATTATACTCTTTAGGTATGTCAAAAATATTTTAAATTACTTTCATTAATGATGATATAATTGAGGGGTGATGGCAAATAGGACCATGACAAGGGCACTTAATTAAAAGAGGGACATCCAACTTTTTTGTCTTTCAAATAAATCCAGCCCATTCAACTTATTTGCAAATAAGGAAAATCCTTTTATATATACCAAAATTACCCCCAATTCATTGAAACCCAATTTAACTCCAATTTCATGATTTACACCCCAATTTAGCCCAATTTCATCAATTAACCAATTTTAACCCTAATTTCAATTTTGACCCCAATTTTGACCCGCCACCACCGAAGACCGCCGGTCGCCGCCGTTGACCGGCGTTGACTTTTTTTTTTCTTTTTTTTTTGTAATTTTTTTTTCCTGAAATTTTTTTCCGGCCGATCAACTGCCGTTGACCGCCGGGTCTCCGGCTTTGACTTTTTTTTTTATAATTTTTTTTTTCTTAAAAAAAATATTTTAATTAATATTACTGTCTTGGCTGCTAAATTACTGTCTCCGGCAGTTATTTAACTGTCGGAGATAGTAATTTAACTGTTAATTGACTTTTTTATTCTTAAAAAAATATTTTTAATTAATATTACTGTATTCGTTGCTAAATTATTGTCTCCGGCAGTTATTAACTGTCGGA